GCCATCCCTGCCCTCCCTCCCGTGCCGTGCCGTGCCGTGCCGTGCCGGTGACACCCCTGTCCCTGCCATCCCTCCCGTGCCGTGCCGTGCCGTGCTGTTTCACACCAGTGACACCCCTGTCAGTGCCGTGCCGTGCCGTGCCGGTGACACCCCTGTCCCTGCCATCCCTGCCCTCCCTCCCGTGCCGTGCCGTGCCGTGCCGCGCCGCGCGGCCCCGCTGCCGCCGCTCCTCCCGGGCTGACTCAGGCGCTCGGAATGCGCCGGCGGCGCGTGGGCGCTGCCCCGGCCGCTGCCATTGCCTAGAAAGGGCATCCCGAGCCCCGGGGGCCACCGGGGCCGGCGGGGCCACCGCGGGACCCACGGCGAGCCCACGGGGCCACCGCCGGCTACACAGGGCCACCGGGGCCACCCGGGCACCGGCATGGCCAGCAGGGCCACCCGGGCACGGGCAGGGCCACCGCGGGACCCACGGCGAGCCCACGGGGCCACCGCAGCCCCCCGGGGCCACCAGGGCCACCACGGGACCCACAGCGAGCCCCCGCGGCCACCAGGGCCTCTGCAGGGCCCTAGGGCCACCATGGGCACTGGCAGGGCCACCAGGGCCACCACGGACCCGGCAGGGCCACCGTGGCCACCTGTGACCCCCAGCCCTGGCACGGCCCCCACGGTCCGGGCACGGCCACCACGGGGACCCGCGGTGGCCACGGGGACCCTGCCGCGGGCTAGTGGGGGTGCCCAGGTGTGCGCAGGTGTGCAGGGCCACCAGGGCCGTGTGGCCAGCCCCGTGTTCCCCCGTGTCCCCCCGTGTCCCCCCGTGTCCCCCCGTGTCCCCGTGCCACGTCCCTGGTCCGTGCCCGACCCTGCCGGGGCCGGGGGGGCCCTCGGGATGACGCGCTGTGGTTTCGCTACTTCCGATATAAAACTCTGTTTAATGTCTGTGTGTGCAGCATCGCCATGGTGACCCCCGGCCCCCCCGGCCCCCCCGGCCCCGCTGTGCCTCTGGCGCCCCACGGCAGCGCTGTGGGGTGCGCGGCCCCCGGCCGTGGGGCACGGGAGCTGCTGATGTGGGGAGCGCCATGGGGCAGGGACCCCGCTTTCTGTGGGGCATAAACCCCCTTTGTGTGGGGCATGCAGACCCTGTGCCATGGGGCACCGAACCCCCTTGCCATAGGGCACTGAACCCTCTCTCTGTGGGGCACACCGTCCCTGTGCCATGGGGCAGGGAACCTGCTCTCTGTGGGGCACCAAACCCCCTCTTTGTGGGGCACCGAACTCCCTTGCTATGGGGCACCCCCTTTCTGTGGGGCACACAGTCCCTGTGCTACGGGGCACTGAACCCCTTGTGCCATGGGGCGGGGAACACCCTCTCTGTGGGGCACCGAACCCCCTTTGTGTGGGGCACTGAACCCCCTCTCTGTGGGGCACTGTACCCCCTTTGTGTGGGGCACACAGTCCCTGTGCCATGGGGCAGCGGGATCCCTTCCTGGGGGGCACTGATCCCCTTGGCCAGGGGGCACGAAGCCCCTTCACCATGGGGCACGTGGGGCACGTGGGGCACACATCACTGCGATCCCCTCGCCACGGGGCACGTGTGGCACTGACACCCCCCTCCATGGGGCACTGACACCCCTTTCCATGGGGCACTGACACCCCTCTCCATGGGGCACGAAGCCCCCTCGCCATGGGGCACGAAGCCCCCTCTCCATGGGGCACGAAGCCCCCTCGCCATGGGGCACAGATCCCCCTGCCATGGGGCACATGGGGCTCCTCGGTCCCGGGGGTCCCGCGCGGCCCCGGGGCGGTCCCGGGGGTCGGGGCTCGTTCCCGGGGGTCCCGCGGGCTCGGGGCTCGTTCCCGGGGGTCCCGCGCGGCCCCGGGGCGGTCCCGGGGGTCGGGGCTCGGTCCCGGGGGTCCCGCACGGGCTCTGGGCTCGTTGCCGGGGGTCCCGTGCGGGGTCCGGGGCTCGGTCCCGGGGGTCCCGCGGGCTAGGGGCTCGTTCCCGGGGGTCCCGCGGCCCCGGGGCGGTCCCGGGGCGGTCCCGGGGCGGGCGGCGGCGGTCCCGGTCCCTCCCCCTTCCCCCGCGCCCCCCCG